CTAAAATGAGGAAATGTTACACAAAATGTTGGATTTGGTTTCCCGGTATGAAAATCAGAAAACTTCTGATATCTATACCATTAGATAAGAGCTATCTACTAGAATCTTAGAGTATTATTTTATTAATGAATTTAATACTGAACACAAATATTAAAACAGATTGTAAATAAAACATAATCAAGAAAGTATTACATTTATGTTGCTCTCTTAGGCTTATCTATTTTAATGCTTTTTTATACATAAAAAGGCTTAACACCATTTTCCTGCTATTAAATCTTTGCTGATAGTGAATAAAATCTACCAGGTGCTCTTGTTCTCCAGAGAATTAAAGGGGTTTCAAGTATGAAGTAAAAATTAGCAAGATTCTGCCCTTCACGATGATATTTTTCTTAAGAGGAAAATTCGACAGTGAATTGATTTCCAAGGCTGGATTGTAAGAAGCCTTCAAAAATAGAGGCTCTGTCTGTATTCTTCTCTTTTGTACTTTTAAGGTCAATAACAGCAATAATAAATGGAAGGGTCAAATCACAGAAATAGATGAAAAGAAAAAAAATTCTTTAATAGCTATGACAAGTGAATTCAAGCTTCCATTTGAGGGCTGTCACAGAAACCTGTCTGTGAAATTTAAAGTAAAAACCCCTCAACGAAATGAAAGACACTGTCATTCAATCGAATCTTCTATTCAAAGATGAATGTCATGTGCTTCTTAGAAATACCTACAGAATTTTTTTTAAAGATGTTAAAGATATTTTCAGATTAGTGAATGGTCACAGGTAAACCTGAAAGCTACAATTCTGAATGCCTCAGCAATGTCAAGGTCTCAGGCCCTTATGTTGAAACTAATTCTTGAGACATTTTCGCAAATGTTTTTTGTCTGGATGTCCACGTACTTTCAAGAATAAAGAGAAGCTGTAACTTTCATCACGTGGCTCAAATGATGGCTACAATTACCAAAGAAAGAAAATTCATTTTTTTACTGACACTGCTCAGGATGCAAGTGGGAAAAAAACAGAACCAAATCTAGTTGTACTCAGAGCCTACTGCTGGGATTGTACCGGGGAGAGACAATTAAACAGATGCCAATGAAGTGTGATAAGTGGAATAAAAGAAATATTTCTGAGGTGCTATGGGAAGCACCGCTGCTTGGTCAAATCAGGAGAAGCATCCTCAAGGAGGAGACATTTGAGTTGAGGTGGAGGGAAGGGAAAGGCTGCCAGGCGGAGAAGGAAGGAAGCAAGGTCAAGGGAGACGCAACACTGCCAGGGTGTGGAGGCCAGCTTGAGAGCCTGGAAGGACTGGGGAGCTGGTGTACAAGCTGGTGCAGAAAATAAGCTTGAAGAAAGGCTGGGATCAGACCTGTGGGCAATGTTGACCTTTCTTCTACAAGGTGAACAGGAGCCAATAAAAATCATTAGGACAAGAACTGACACAATCAAAATTGGTATTTGAGAATCGACTTCTGGCAGCAGCAGCTGAGGCTACGTTAGAAGCTAATGGGAAGACGTAATAATCTAGACAAAAGATGCAAGAGTCTGAAGTGAGGCAGCAGCCCTGGGTCTGGGAGCCAAGCGTGAATTTGTGAGTTCTTGAGGCAGTGGTAGACGCCCTGTCGAGGGCAATAAGTGACGTTCAAACTTGACATTCTGCCCTGAGTTTTGAAGATATCTGAGGCAGATAATCATGTTTGAGTTATTTTTATACAATACGTGGAACATTTATTAGTCTTATCTAGCAGATACTTATTCAGGTTACTTTTTAAACATGTAAAACATGTCGATGGATGATTTTCACATTAATAATTATGCGGCTATAGTACTCCAACTAGTATATTAATATATTAACTCAAGACTCTAGTTTGGTATGTTTCTTAAGCAGCAATAGAATTACTCAAACTTCCTTCTTCCTCTATTGAGGCAACGTTGCTTATAAAGGCCATATTTTCCATTAATCCAACTCTGTAAAGATTTATGAAGATCCTTGTGAAAGACTTAGTGCTATCCCTAAGTAATACATTGTACCTGGTCCTGAAAAGAGTCAACTGACTAGTGGCTAGAAATACAAGCTCATCCCTAATGAGCAGATTTTAAGTCCAGCCATTAGGCCTCAGTTATAGCTAATTCATTCGTTCCCTCATTTACTGAGTACATGGGCACTGTGAATACAAAGATAGAGCAACATATAAGTGGTCGAATAGAGACTTAACTAGTTAACTCAAAAACAGAAAGAGAAAGCTCCATGCCTCAGAGAGCTCAGCAAAGAATGACCTGAGACTTGATGACTATGGGTTTGTAAGTCAGGTAAGAGAAGGCAAGATACGCCATACGTAGGCATCTACATGTGCAGAAGCCCACTGGCAAAAGACTCTTGACCAATTTTCCAATTTAGGAAACTCTGAGAACTTGAATATAGGATAAGTGGTGGTCATAGCATGAGATAAAACACTGTGTGCCATGCTAAGAAGTCTCGATTTTATCCTATAGGAAACACTGAGGCACTGAAGAATTTTAGGGAGGAGGAGAATGTGACAAGATGTTAATTTTTAAAAAGATCATGTATCTGTGGATAAAGAAAGGGAGCCAGCCCAGGGTTGGGGAGGCCAGTTAGAAGGCAGTTACAACAGTCAAGAGAAGAAATAAGCAAGATGATGCTGCAAACAGGGCGTGAGGGGTAGAGAAACATATTAGGAGGTAAAGATCAACAGGATGTGATGATGACGGGTGTGGGGAAAGGGGAAAGACTGGCATGATTCCAGGTTTCGGGATAGCCGGAGAAATGATGTTGCCATAAACTGAGATAGAAAATACAGGCGGAGGGGCAAATCTGCAAAAGCAAAATTATTTTTTAATGCATCTGGATCTGCCATCTGGCACGCTGGCTACAGAGGTGTGCTGCTTGGATTAAGAGAATGTGCTGCAGCAGGTTCACCTGGCTCCTCGGAGGCCAGGCTTCCCCTGGGCTGCCTCTAAGCCGGCCCCTCTCCCGCTGCAGAGGACGTTCGTCCAGGGGGCAGCTCTGTGGGGTGACTCCCTGTGGGCCTGCCCAAGACTTTCTCAGAGCTGTGATGCGGCCTCTGCTCACCTGGACCTGCAGTGATGCGAAGGCTCTCCCGGCCTTCTTCTGCTCCTTCCTCCTTTACCCTCCACAGACATTTCCTCCAATAAATCTCGCGCATGTTAAATCCCATTCTGGCATCTGCTTCCTGAAGGAACCGAACTAACACAAGGCAGAATGGAGGACGTCAAGTAAGCAGCTGGAAGGACAGATCTGGGAGTCACTGTGCATGGGAATCACTGCGCCTCTGGTTAGTACGAACCTGTTCCAAGGCTGCAGACCCTGAGGAGTGTTCTTTATAACACACTGCTACTTGTGCTAACAGCCGGAGAGCCGCCGTTGGCAAGAGTAGGCAACCTAAGAGATTCGGAATAGTTAACGTGGATGAGGTTTTAGACGGTATAGATTATAATGCAACATTAGAAACCATAGACAGAGGAATTTTTAGCATCCACTACAGTCCTAACTTTAATCTGTGCATAACTAAGTGACATCCTATAATTCTTTGGATCTTCAGGCCAGTGTTGAAATCCAAGAACTGGGCTGTGGGTTTGCTCCATCCTTTCCAAGCACAAGATGACTAAGTATAAACGGTTAGGACAGGAAAAGTCACTACCCTACAGTACTTGAGAACTGAGTGTTCTACTGGTTAGTGGGAGCCTTTCCAACAAAATGCAATCTGACTCTGTCCCAGTGGCACACACTTCATCCCCTTAGCACTGTGCCTATGAATGTATTTTTAAAGCTTCAGCTGACAATGTAGGTGATTATGGGCTGCATCTGTTCATGTTGTAAACTATTTTCTTGTTAATTCTGTCTCCACCTTACCTTGAACTTCTTCCATAGCCTTTGTAATTTGCCAAATTATCATATGCAAAGTTGAAAGCAAGCATTATGGTAATGATAATGATGACATTTTATTCATAAACTGCAGAGAAACTGCATCTTCATTCAAATCATCTAAATGGCTGGATTCTCTAAGTGATTATGACTTTAAATGTTTAGATTTGCAAAAATTACTACAGCAAAACCGTACGTGTTTAAGCCACATAGGCTGCCAACACTGGGCATACACCCAGCTCTCTTGGCCTAAAGACATGCTCACCTAGGTAGAGGCCACCTGGTATGCCTAAAAAAGGCGAAGAAAACAGGACTCTAGTCCTTAGAAAATATCCACAGTGTAAAGGAGAAAGAGAAAGAAGCCAGGACAATTAAATTTGTACTACAACTGTTCTACAAAACCATGGTAATAATTCTTCTAGTCTATGTCAAGAGCATATGTCTGCACTTTTTATCTCAAGACAGTGGGGATAGTTGTATTACATAATCTATGCAAAGTCATACTTGATATTTAGAATGATGTAAAAAACAGTGGGTCAATTCCAAATAATTCCACTGGTGGTAGAATTCAACCTTAAATTCTCCTTACCACAAGAGGTCAAAATACATTATTATTTGCCTCTAATGAATACATCAGAGGGACCATAAGCACAGTCTAGAAATATTTTATAGTCTAAAATCATTTTTCATGGAAGCATTTGTAAAAAACCTTTAGCTTTACATAAAACTATTTTATCTCTCTTGCAATCTTCCTATCTGAAAAGAAATAACCACAAAATCACAATCATATATTTAGTGTACAGCACTTGTATTCCACTTTTCCAGATTAAAAAAAAAAAAACTCTAAATACCTAGCAAGTCTATATATTTGATTTATTATCTGTCAAAATTATCTCTAACATATCATCAGGCCCACAGGTATAGCAGGGGACATTAAACATTATTAGAGATAGTTACAGGTTAGCAAACACAAGCCAAGATATAATATGCAATTGATAAAAGTCCTAGCTCTCTTTATGACATCAGCGAACACTGCAAAGGTAAACATTTACATTCTGTTGTCTTCTTAGAATTGGCCAAATTACATAAAGAAACATAAAATAATTTACCTTTTTGAGCTTTGAGATCCATTAAGCGATGAACTAAGGGATGGCTATACATTGATGCTTTCTTGATCATTTCTTGAAAACTAGGCAAATAATACATTAAAATATCAAATGGTAATAATTAATTCAAAATGTGTGTTAAGTGCTTTCATATTTACCCAATAAAGTTTAACATCAGATACAGCAGAGAAAATTATATTAAAATATCTTATTAATAAACCATGATTTTAAAAAGAGTGCACTGAAATGCAATCTATCTAGTACAACCAAAATTCAGGGTCAGAAATTTTAGAAGCTCCTGGAAAAAGAAAACATGTTCTTCACCAGAGACCACCTCAGCTATCATGAAGCAAGGCATCATCTTTATACTGACTAGTCAGAGAGCGATCCTAAAACTTAAGAGGTGATTGAAACATTGGGAGAGAATGGGTTTCATTCAGTGTAGTGAAAACCATAGCATTAATCTAAAACAAAGCTTCCCACATAGTAATAGATGCAGAGTCGCTCTCATCTGTGGCCATCAGCATGTACCCAGGGGCAAAGAGCCCAACCACCAGGTGGTTTTTTAAAGTAGCTTCTTCTTTAAAAAGAAATCCATACAATCTCAGCAAACACATTTAAAATGAAAGAAATTCAAGTATTTTATGCCTCTCAAGCAGAGGATATCATGTGAATAAGCTTAAACAAGCTGTAATTCCAACTTTGGAAAACAACAATTTGATGTTCTAGGTATCAGGTTTTGAATCATTTAATAATCACTGTACTACCATGAATTTATATTCATTCCTTTCTTCTAAGGCTCCCAAAACACATTTCATAATCAACACGTTTTTCTTTACAATATGCTCAGTAAATTAGGAGACAAATTATTTTCCCTACAGTTTACAAACAAGAAAAATCAAAGGTTACATGGCTAAACAGTAGCCCAAGTGGTCACCCATTTTGTTCCCAATTTAGTTTCTCTTCCATTAAAGAAAGCAGTCTTTATGACACGTGCCTACCTGAAGGTCAACATTTATTAAATGTTAAGTCTGGACATACCTATATATATGAGTTAGCTGAGTTTCTAGACGGTTAAAAAGTATCATCCACAACTTTTGCTTTGCTGATGAGACCTCTGATGGTGCCTGAAAGGCGAGCACAAAAGCACGCAGTTTACTACTGTACACACTGGCAGCGAGTCCTCACAGAGAACTAATCCTGACAGCTGCAGCTTCACAGCCTCTGATCATACAGCAGTGAGGTTGGAACGCCCATAAATAAGGGGGTTGAAAAATGTAAGTAGGCACATTCCACATGAGTGTCTCGTGAACAGAGCAAGAGCCAACAGGTAAGTAAAAACATTCCTGCAAGTGAGTGAAGGCTATCAGGGCAAAGCGATTATTTTTAACTTTGATGCCAGGAGTTATTTAAGAGTCCACAGCTATGACGTCCTGTGAAACGGAGGCCATGTGTTTTTCAGGTCACCTGTCTGGGTACAAACACTATTTTTAGAATCAGACAACCACACCAGGATGTTTGAGAGTATGTGTGCAGCAATGATCTGGACGCAGGAATTATATTTCCACAGTTCCTTCCTACTCAGAGTGAATACGAAGGCTGAGGGTGTATGTCGCCTGTGCACCTGCTCATGTGCATTTAGGACTGCATCTCAGAGGAAAAATTAATTCCCCCGATCACTGAAAATAGCCTGAATAAGAAGTTATTACAGGTAATGAAATCGAGCAATATTGTAAAGTTAAACTTAGGAGTGTGGGTACAGCTTCTAAGAAATACTTCACATACCATGATGGACAGAGGTCACGTTAATGTATCAGACAGGACTAGTGGTCTGGGAGCCTGATTTTAGTCATTCCTGTCCATAATTAGTCTGTGATTTTTAGGCATTGACTCAGTGTGTTTCTTGGCTTCCTCATCTATAAAGCAGAGACATAAAAAGTACATAATATCTATTTGTGAAATGAATATGGTAGGTAAAAAACATCCTGGAAACTGCAAAATCCTAAATGATGAAAACAATTATTCATAGGCAGCTAATTCTGGGCAGAGGACACACTCCCTTTTTTGGGTCTTTTTAAAACAAGAATTAAGAATTATTTGGAACATAAAAACCACCTGTCTTCTCCCACAAGTTATTTAAAAGATCAAGAAACCTCAGTGCTAGATTCCCTAAGAAGCAGAATATCTAAATGAATCATCTAAACCGACATGATGACAATGATTATTTGTTTCATTGAACGGTTAAAAAGAAGTACACAGAGACTTCTGCCTCCCAGTATAACTAGAAAAGCACATTTTACACACACACACACACACACACATACCTGTTACAAGGCATCAGACAGCTTCCAAGGCAGCCAAGAATTCCATGCTTTTGCTGATTATTGGTGTAAAGGGGCTGAGAAGCCCAAGAGAGGAACACAAGAAAGGACACCAGCAGAGCTTTAGCTAGGGAGACAAGTGAACTAGGGAGACAAGGGAATAGTGTTTGGAGCTGGCGAGGCTGCCAGGAATTGGGAGCACAAGATCCCAGAAAGAAGGGACAGAGAAGTAAGCCTGACGCTCAGCACTGACTTTTCATTCAAGGTATTTGCACAGTAAGATGTTTAGGGCAAGATGCTAATTTTCCAAGCATAATGTGGCTAAAAACAGAGCAAAGCTCAAAAGACGAGAGAAACACCCCAGCAGACAGTTAGTATCCCTGGAAAACTACTTTTTAGGAATGGGAGGAAACTAGGAGATGGAGTCTTACAAAGACTAGCCTTGCATCCACTCGGTCCTGATTGAAGGAAAATAACGTTCCCCTCTGCTGCCTGCCAGAATACCTTCTGGAATCCTCTCCAGAGGAAGATGCACAAGATCCACAATCTTCTATACGTAACGTCCAGCATTCATTCAAAGTTTACTAGTCAACTACTAGGAAACAAACCCACACGTAACCCAGATATTGGAGCTTTTTGACACAGACTTTAAAGTAATTGTGATTAAGATATTATAAAAAATAGATGACAAGAATTACACCAGAGAACTGGAATCTACAAGTCAAATAGAACTGAAAATAGAATAAATGAAATAAAGAGCTCCACAGATGAGTATAACAGCAAATATAAAGAAAGCAAAAGAAAAAATTAATAAGCTGAAAGATAATTTTATAGAAAAAGTATATGATGGTCACCATCCTAAGTAAGTTACAGGTGTCCTACTTACTTTGAATAATGATAAATTTGCTTTGCTGCTGTTTGTCTTTAACAGGCAACCTATTTTCTAGATAATATAAGCACGCTGAATTTTGAATTAGAAGATTAGAGTTCAGGTCACAATTGTTTCCTACTAGTTGGGTGAATTTGGTAAAGTCAGTTAACATCTGTAAACTTGTTTCTTACCTTGTAAAAGGATATACCTTGGTTGCAGGGTTAAGAAGAAAAAAAGGTATAGTATCAAACAGTTCTGTAAATACTGTATTTATGGCATAAGCTACTAATGATTTTTTTCCAAACTTCTATCTTTATTAGCGTACGGACGAGTAAACAGGCTTTTTTGCAAACATATCTAGGTCTTCTATTAATGGATCCGAATATCTATTTTTCCTCTCTTTCTGTATACACAGCCCATGTAGAGATTACTTTTCTGAGTGCTCCTAGTATATGGTCAGTTCAGTTCAACCGGATGGGAGCTGAAGTGATTTTTCTAGTCACCCTTAACATAAGACATTCGGCTCACCCAAGGACTCTGGTTCTTTCCTCTTCCAGTAGGTTGAAACGCAGATGTAGCCGTGACCCGGTATAGACCACTGAAGCAGTACAGCAGCCTAGGGGATGGCTGAACCTGGGACCCTGAATGACATCAAGGTGCACAACTGCCTTACCAGCTCAGACTGGCCAGACTGTTGACTGAGAGGTAACGTTCCAGCGTTTAGGCCACTGCATGTGAACATCTCTTTGCTACAGCAGCTTAGCCTTCACCCCAGCTACTGCAGTGCAGGACAAATGTCAATTACCTATGAAAGGCAACAAAATTAAATTTTAGAAAAACGACTGCTTTTCTACCTACAAACACATATGCAGAAAACTCCCAATTATAAGTAGCTTTGAGAAATGAGAATAACAAGAAAAAGTTAATGTCTCTCTCCCCAACCCTTCCCCAAAAGCGTTCTGCTTTAAATACCTCCAGAGAAAAGAAGCATTAAGAAAAGACTTGAGTTTATGTGGAAGTCAGTGTTGATTTTAGTAGAAAGCTGTCAGAGAAGACTGAAGCAGAAGACATTTCAAATTAGGAAGGAATAAATAACGAGCAAAGAAAAGCAGCAGCTGTAGTCCAAGTATTTGAGAAGTTTGACTGAAATGTAAATATAAATGAATATAAATATATTTATATAAATAAGATGAATATAAATATATTTTCTTCTCGTCTAGGTCGGAAAGTCAGAGGAAACGCACATTGAGTGAGTACTGATCAACAGAAATCCTTTTTCCCTTTTTAATGTTGTCAGAAAGCATCAGATGTTGTATAATAATAGAAACATGAGGCTTCCCTGGTGGCGCAGTGGTTGAGAGTCTGCCTGCCGATGCAGGGGACACGGGTTCATGCCCCGGTCCGGAAGGATCCCACATGCCGCAGAGCGGCTGGGCCCGTGAGCCATGGCCACTGAGCCTGCGCGTCCGGAGCCTGTGCTCCGCAAGGGGAGAGGCCACAGCACTGAGAGGCCCGCGTACCGCAAAAAAAAAAAAAATAATAATAATAATAGAAACATGAACAGACAAAGCCTGTAAATACAAGGAAATATTCAATGAAGTGGAAAACACTAGAAAAAGGTAATATATTTAAAAATAAATGTCAAGTTTAACGTCCACATTTTTAAAAACCACACAACAAAGACTGTGCAAATACTGTGAATTTTATTATTTCCTCACGACAAATTCATGACGAAATGTTAAGCTGTACCCAGTTAGAGAGAATACATGTGTATTTAGGTGTCTTTAGATTTTCCTCTTCCTTCCTCTCGTACTTCTCCGTTTCCCCTTTTTCTTCCCAAACACAGACCTGGCGGTCACCAGGACGGGCTCTGCCTTCTCTCCGTCATCATCGCTGGAGCTGCCTGTGGTGGCACCTCCGTCTCTCCTGGGAGGAGGCTGCACTGTGCTCTGTGCATCTGAAGAGCTGACTTTTGACTCTACAGCTGCTTTTCCCCTTTGCATGTTCGCTACAGGGAAATATTCCTCATCCTCACTTGAAGAGGCATCAGATGACTGCGAGAGGTAGGCCTCCCCCAAAAACCCACCACATTCATGCCCCTGTTTAGAATCCGAAAGCCTCTTTCTTTTCGGGCTGGATGACTCTTTCCATCTACTTGTTGTGCCTCTCTTCTGGGTTTTTCCTTCTGCCTTATCGAGGAACTCAGAGTCTTTCTCCATGGCAACAGAAACTGCTTCTATTTCACTGGCTGCTTCTTCTCTTTCTTTTCTCAGCATACATGTCACAGCTCTGTTAAGTCTCTGGCTCTTAATACCCTTAGCCTCCTGTTTCTCCTGTTGAGCTAATCTAAAGAAAGAATCAATTCGGAGCTGCGTCTAAAAAAATGAAATAAAATAATAATAACTCAGACAAGTAAGTAAACTTTCTAAAGCAAATCAAAGAAATCCACCCTGATTACTGGCATTGGATGACTCTTTCAGAAAATACTAATTCATTCTCTCTCAAAAGCCGATCTCCCCCAAATGAATGACTGGCAGCAAATTTTACTTTCAAGATCGTACTTAAAGCAGTACATGTACCACCTCCGTCAACTAAGCCCTCCACCCACATATCAAGTAGGAAATCCCTTCCTCGGCATTGAAAGAGAGTTAAATATTTTTCAGGGGCCAAATATATCATCTTCTTTTAGAGCAACACAACTTCATGGGGTCTGTTTCTAAATTCTACTCTTCCCTTCTTTTAAAAACATTGTCATCATATGATACCTTCAGGAAGAAACTTCACAGTATTATATATTAGGAGTCGTAAGAAATATTCTTGACTTCTGTTCAGCAAATCCACTTTCAGGAAGACATTCTTTAAAAATAGTTACATTTGAGAAAAGTCACATGCCTGATGTTCATCACAGCATTACATACGAAAACCTGAAAATTCAAGGTCTACTAAGTGAAGTGAACCAAGTTAAATCTCTGACAAAATGTAATCTGGCCATCTGAAACAATGAAGGCCATGCAATACACAGAAAAAAACTTACCTTCACCAGTGAATGGGGGCTTTATTTATAACAAATTGCACTTATGTCTGATAATAAATATATGTGGGACGGAGGGGAAAAATAAGAGAAAATGGACGTAAATGTTAACATCCATATTAAAGGAAGCAAACAATGAGTTAATTCATTTTTTTCACTTTCTAATTTTGGGGAAATAAACTTATATTAACGTCTACAATGAAAAGGGAGAATAGTATTACCACAAAACTTATCTGAAATTAAGGAGTAATCAGTCACTATGCCAACTAGCTTTCCTGGTCGGTGGGCGTACAATGTTTCCAGTACAGAAAGTCGTCAAACAACGCGAAAGTTTCTGGAAAGGTGGTCTACCTCAGTTTTTTGTTTGTTTGTTTTTCCAAAATCAACCCAATCTAATGGAAAAGGATTTAACTTGAACATGTATCTTGCAGGATCTGGTCTGAATTCCACTGAATGGTTTCCCTGTATGTATGTTTTGTGGGCTGCCTCTGGGGTGGGAGGAGGTCTCTGTGTGGGCAGGAACACACTCAGGGATAAAGCGAGATGCTGTTACCTACCTAAGGGAACTGAGGGTCATCTCTCCTGCCAGTACACTATGACTGAATTAGTACCTTTGATGATTCATTTACAGAATTTAAGAATATTAGTACTTGAAGACACTTAATAATCAGAACTGCTTTGGACTGGGCACTTCTTAAACTTTTTAAAAATGAAAATAGCTCTAAAAGGGTAAAATATTTAACCATAAACACCTTAGTACGCAATCCATTATTAGATTGTTTTTCTCGAAGTCAGAGTGAATACAAAAGGATATCAAAGTTCAGCCCTAAGAGTGAAAGTGGAAAATGAAGACAAAGTCCAGCTTTCCCGTTTTCTGTTTTCCTCTGTTCTCTTACTGAAGTACAATAATTTTTAAATGTATGTTACGTGCTCTAAAATAAAAGTAACTAGTCTTTAACAGCTGGCCCTCACAGCCTTCCTAACTTTACTCTCTATCCTGAACTTAGGAAAAGAGCTGCCATGATTACCTGCTGGACATTCAGTTGCTTTAATACAGGAAACAGAAAGTCATCTGTCTTCATCCTGTTCCAGCCAAAATACCGCTGACAAAATATGCAGGCAGTTAAGACTCATACATGTTTTTAAAGACATTTAAACAAGTGATAAATAAAAAGGTCCAAAGAAGCCACCCTTGATTCCATTCCCCATGTCTCCAAAGATTTTCTTATTTATAAAGATTAAAATGATAAAAGAAAAGAATAACAAAGCAAATTATTCCAACATAATCATCTGGCACGATGTTCTTATAAATATCCTCTAAGATAAAAGATATTCAACTCTCATTTTAGGACATCAAAGACTCATGACTATGAAAAAAGGTTAATCTAGAATAAAAACAAATTTCTGATATCACATATATTTCTTTTTTCTTTGTGAAAAGATGTAGTTAGAGTAATACTATGGCAAACTTTTAAACATCTATCCAAATGATTATTTAAATATGCAGAAAGGAACAGTAATAGAAAGAATAAAACTAATAATCTTTTCTATTCTTTCAGAATGAATACTTAAGTATGTAGTGTATCTATGAATGCTTATCACTACTTACTTGAAATAAAGATTCTCTTTAAAACTGAAAAGATGATTCACAGTAACTAAAACATGGAAGCAACTCAAGTGTCCATCAACAGATGAATGGATAAGCAAAATACGACATTACATACAATGGAACAGTATTCAGCCTTAAAAAGGAAGGAAATTCTGACACATGCTACAACTTGGATGAAACTTGAAGACATTATGCTAAGTGAAGTAAGCCAGTCACAAAAAGACCTAAACTGTATGGTTCCACTTATATGAGGAACATAGTCAGAGTAGTCAACATCACAGGGACAGAAAGTAGAATGGTGGTGGCCAGGGGCTGGGGGAGGGGAACGGGGGAGTTAGTGTTTAACAGGGATAGAGTTTCAGTTTCACAAGATGAAAAGAATATGGGGATGAATGGTGGTGACAGTGACACAACAATGTGAATGTATTTAATAACCACTGAATGGTATGTTTAAAATGGTTCAGATGGTAAATCGTATGTTATGTGTATTTTACCACAAAAAAAAAAAAATTAAGGAGAGAGAGAAAGGAACAGAAAGGAGCATCTTAGCTCACGGAATATTTAAAAAAAAACTGATCCAAGTTCATGTCCCGTAAGTTTTATACCAAAACACATATTTGACTTGATATTCCTGAGGTTTGAGGAAGGGAAAGGATATTCTCTAATCTTCTCGAGATCAGGTTTGCCCCACAGAAACGACCCCTTGGACTCATCCACCACAGGCTTGAGGTAAGCGTCTGCCACGGCCGGGTTAGGGAAGCCAGGTGTGAGCTGCAACTTGCGTAACTTTTTTTTCACTTTGGTGTCATAAGGATTAGGTCTTATCTTCTTATTCTTTTGAGCTCCATGCCACCACTCGCTACAAGGCAAAGGAAACAAACCTTCGTGAAGCAGTAAGACCTTATGGCAGATGCATCGCAGACAAAGGGCTAAACGTAAAGTTCAGAGACGTAAACTCAAGTCCCGCCCAACTCCAGAACAAAGCCTATGACTTACAGAATGACAATGGTGTCTTTCTCGTGTGATTAACACAGTATACAATGAGGCAATCACTGACTGACCCCTTCCTCTGGGCTTGGCACTGTGTTAACTGCTCTACAGGCCCCATCATCACACAAGCACAGTCCTGCCACTGTCCTCTCCTCACAGACAAGGAAATTGGACTCAAACAGAAGCCACTTGCTCAAGATTTCACAGCTGGGACTGGTACAATCTCCCTCCAGAGCCCACACTCATAGAAAAGTCACAGTTCCTCTCCTTCCCAGTGGTAAAATGAAGTAATATCAATGTATCCGTATTATTTACCTCCCGTCAACTATAATCAGGAGCCAAGAATATTTAATAAAATGTAAAAATGCCAAGAAGATGTTAAATTTTTAAAATGCAGAATATAACTCTACATCAAGTGTGATCCCAATACTGGGGAAAAAAATGTATATATGTGGAGAAAGAAAGAAAAAGTAAACAGGGATATTTAAAATAATAAAAAACACTAACAACTGTTATTTTACCGTGCGCTAGGCAATGTTCTAAGCAAGGATACAGCGGTTAATTTTCTTGATGTTTTATTCCTTTTTCAATTTTTCCTTTGTGAGTATAAATCACTATGGTGGGTTAAAGCCCATTCTTGGACCCTCCTCCCAACAAGAAGTGTTGGGGTCCATGTCCCTTACCCTTGAGTCGGGCAGGCTCCGTGGCTGAGTAAGGGACATTGTGCCAGGCCTTTAAAGACTGCAGTTTCCACTTCCTGTCTCTTAGAATATTCGCCTTGCAAGCAGCCAACATGCTGTGAGGAAGCTCCAGCTCGTGAGGAGGCCCAGATGGAAAGGGTCCAGGCGCCCCGGGCCACGTGCTGGCCGACAGCACCGCTCACCAGCCACGAGCGAGACACCTCACGGGGCCCCTCTAGCCCAGCTGAGACGCCCCCGACACACCTGGCACCAGGCGAGGCAGCCCCACCCCGAGCAGCCTGATTGAACTGCGGATTCACGAGCAAAATCTCTGACTGTTGCTGTTGGAAGTCACCGAGGTTTATGGTAGTTTGTAATGTGGCAACGGACAGCCAGAAAAATTTACACAATTAGGATAAATAAATGGCATAAAAGTTAAAAACATAAATATAACCCTCTCCCATCTATGCACTAACAGAACCTAAAAAACCCTACATCCGCTGCTTCACGTACTGATTGGTCTCAGGACCTGACTCACAGGCGTGGTCTCCACCAGTGCCTCACCTCACCAAGGCAGGAGTGCCATCTGGTGTTCTAACTTCAGTCTTCGTGCAGGATCAAAATGCAGAAAGGAAAAAAGGATCTATCTTCACCAGTTTTAAAATACTGTTCAAGAGGGTGCTGGGAGAACACCTACAATTCTCCCCTACTCTCTTGTGAATCTTCACCTTTGAAATAGTACTCATGATTGCCAGCACAACACACTGTAAGCTCATCAAATCAAAAGGACCACCCCTCCTTCAAGCAAGAGGGCCAGGCACTTGAGGGTGGAAGACGGCATCTGCCCATCAGCTGAGCTCGGGGGACACAAGACGGGGCAGCAGCGACTGTGATAAAGTGGAAGGGTTTGTGCCCTGACCAAGCCAGTGGGGTGGAATTGCTGTCCTCTGTTTCTGGGCTATTTGGGAATTGGGGCTCAGTATTTTCAGATGTCATTTCCCCCCAGGAAAATCCAAAATTTTCTGTGAAATCTCCCCCAATTTAAAGGTTGGTAGCCCACTCAAAATTAAAGAACATACTGTGTGGGCCAAAGAAAACACAGCTGGGCTGAACTCAGTCTGCAGACTCAGAGCTGCTCTGCTTTAAAGGGGGGCCGGCCGGCCAGGGTCAGGTTAGGAAAAGGGAGAGCAGAGAAGAAAGCAAGGTGACAGACACTCCCAGTCTTACTGCTCTTCCACTGTCTCCGCGCCCTGTAACTGCACCCATCCTAGCCCTGCAGAGCCAGGCAGGCAGGGGCAGCTCCTATCTGCCATCAGGGAGCTAAAAGACCAAGGCAGAAATTGCTAGAGCTGACTAAAAACGTAACCATTCAAACAGCAACAAACGAGCAAAAACTGTTGAGAGAACAAAAACGGCATAAACAGGCATTCACTAGATCAGCATGGCAAACTGTCAACAAATATGAAAAAAAATTACTCTCACCAATAACCAGGACACCAACTCGAAAAGTTAGATACCATTTTCACTTATCCTAAAATAATAATCAGATAAGAACTCAAAGACATGTATATAAAGTCACTCAAGGCAGTATTTGTTTAGACTTTTAAAAAAACCAGAAATAACAATAGGCATTTGATTAAATTAGTTATTCATGATACATCAAAAGACTCCTATGGAGTCATTAAAAACAGCAATGTAAATCTATACGTCGTTGATAATATGCCCTGTTTTATCATCAAATGAGTTGCAGGTAACATAAAAAGTATACAGCATCGTCCCATGCTTGTAAAAAAAATAATAATAATAACAGACTTATATGAGTATACTTGTGCGTGTGTGTGATTATATATAAAATGCATGTGTATATTGTGCATAGAAAAGACTAACACTGTATAAACCAAAATGTTATCTGTAATCTTTATAATTCATATTTTGTCATTTTTCTAATGTGTGTTTGTTATTTGTATAAAAGTTACTTGTACTTTTGCAAGTTATTTACATACCATGACTTACAAGCAACCTAACAACATACCTCCAGTATATACATTTCCTCAACAATAAGAAAATTATGAAAAGAGAAATGTTGAAAACAAAATACAACACTATGTGTGCTAAGGCTGGAGGACAGCAATCATTCAAACAACTTTGTATTTAATTCTAATCACCGAATCTTCAGACCAGAACATCCTGAAATTTTTCAAACCAGGAGCTACGACTGGAGAGAACACTAAAGAATCATTAAATCAGCTACTGCCAAATAGTATCCCATGTCAAACTGATGATTTTAAAAGATGCCATCACAACCTGTGACTAGACGAAAAACCACTGAATTGTACTTTAAAAGAGTAAAATTTATGCTGTGCGAATTATATATATTTTTTTGAAAAATGCCACCAAGGAGCAACCTTAAGAAAGAACTACTTTCACAGACAACCTCGTAACTAGCGCCATCTCAGAATCTCCAAAAACAAAGAGTGTACCCCAAGTACAGCACGACTCTGGGTTCCGGACAGAAGGAGACGCCACCACTGAATACATCACAGTCTACACGCAGAGAGAAAACGTTCCTGGCATATAGCTCCATGCCCCTGTCTGGCCGACCTCCCTCAGAACACTTGGCACACAGCAGTACAAGCACGTGGATGCTTCTCCCTTGCCCCCAGGGTGTGGCAGCTCCTTGAGGACACAGCCTGGGGCTCAGTCACCTCCCCTATTCCAGCCTAGCACACTGTCTAGCACATAGTAGCTGCTCAGGAAATATTTGAATGAATGAAACGGTAACCTCTACACTCCCAGGAATTCCCACTGGACTGGCTATGCATCCTCAAACTCGGATAAGTGTGGCACCTCTAAAAATAATTGCCTATGATTTCATCAAACTCTAGAAAAGGGAAAACAAACTTTAGTAACCCCAACCATTACCTCCTCCTGTTTTCTCAGGGGACAATGATTTGTGACAGTTCACGATGTAAGGAATAGTTCTGTTTAATTTGGGTATTTATATATAAACACCTGAATTAAAGAAATTAAGAAAGGACTTACGAGAATCTTAGGAGAGGTTCCAGGCCATGTCCAGGGAATTCATTGAGAATTTCCATGGCTGTAACACAACCTACAGTTGGTATTCCTTCCGTATAATCACTTCCAAGCAAATAGGCCAAATTTATTAATTTGTTCCGGTCCAATCCTATAAGAGTAAAAGTTATTATATACTTTTCCACTTTTTATTTTATAAACATTTATTATGTAACATTTATAAACACTTCATTATATAGATAATATACATGTATAGATCCTTATCCAATATCCAAATAGATTCCTTTTTTTTTTTTTGCGGTATGTGGGCCTCTCACTGTTGTGGCCTCTCCCGTTGTGGAGCACAGGCTCCGGACGTGCAGGCTCAGCGGCCATGGCTCACGGGCCCAGCCGCTCCGCGCCATGTGGGATCTTCCTGGACTGGGGCACGAACCCGTGTCCCCTGCATCGGCAGGCAGACTCCCAACCACTGCGCCACCAGGGAAGCCCTAGATTCCTTTTTTTTAAATGGCATTGTGCTTCGATTTTTCAAGTTTCACACATCCTTGCAGTTTTAAATGTCATATAACCTCTGACCTCCAAATTCGGCACTCTCACCAGGACCTCTCCTCTGAAAGACAGTCACGCACACTCAACTGGAACCTTAACGTCTCCGTGGAGATGTCTAAGGGGCACCTCAGAGACAACACATCCAGACCCGGGTCTTCACTCCTGCAACACCCGCACCTGCTCCTTCCCCGTTCCGCCACCTCACCAAGGCCAGTCCACTCCCTGCGCTGCTGCGGGGGATGGGGGGTGTTATCCCTGACTTCTCCTTCTCTCACGTCCCAGCCCAGTCTACCTGCAGAGCCTCTCCACCACACTCTGGACTCTCCTCCTTCCTCTCTGACCTCACCTCTTGCCATCCTTCTCCTCATTCACTCACACTGGCCCCTGAAGTCGTTTCCCGGGCCTGCCATAACAAAGTGCTCAGACTGAGGGCCTTACACAAAGGATTCATTTCCTCACAGTTCTGGGGACTAGAAGCCTGACCTCACGGTGTCGGCACGGTTGGTCCCTTCTGAGCCTCTCTCCTTGGCTGGCAGACGGCCGGCTCTCCACGTGTCTGCACGTGGTCTTCCCTCTGTGTCCTAATCTCTCCTTCTTACAAGGACACCAGTCAGACTGGATTAGGGTCCACCCTAATGACCTCATTTGACCTTAGTCACCTCTTTAAAGAACCTATCTTCAAACACAGTCATACTCTGCGGTACCAGAGTTTAGTACTACAACACATGAATTTGAGGGAGATATAATTCAGTCCATAACTATCTCCATGCTTCCCTAGAACACACCAAGCAGGCTTCTGTCTCAGGGCCTTTGCACAGGCCAGTCCCTTTGTCTGACATGCTCATCCCCACGGTATCCATAGCACGAGCTTCCTCTCTACTTTAGGCTCCAGCCCAAAAGGTGCCTATTAGTAAAGCCTTTTCTGACCACAAAGGACATGCACTTTCTGCAACTGCAGGTCACTCTCGCCTCTTTTACTGCTCTGTTTTTCTATATGGCTTATACCACTGTCAAATTACAATTTATGTATTTTTTTTACCATCTGTTTCTCCTGCTAGACTGTTTTATTCTCTGCTGTTTCCCCACTTCCCACTGCCAAGAACAACAACTGGCATATAGGAATCGCTCAGTGTGTATTTGCTGAATCAACGGGAGGATGAAGGATCACTGTCAGAAACAACAAGGACCATGAGGCTCATGATTCCAGCAGGAGTGACCCCCACCTGTCTCCCCACTCTACCACCTGTGGTTTACTCTGGAGAGCTCAGGTAACCAGTCAGAGCGTAACCAGGCCTGATGATTAAAACTGCAGAAAATGTCTGAACATTACTAGGGTTTTAATTTCTTAGTTCCAAATTAAAAATCGTATTCTGCTACAGAAGCAAAAGATCGTTTATATGAAAACTTGTACAGATCTACCATTTCCATTAATGCACCAAATTAGCTCCTTGGAAAGAAAGAATTCATACTACAAAATTCTGAAGGTAAATTTCAGAAAGCAATCGTACTCTGAAGTCTTACCTAATTGGTTGTGAAAGTCCACATACTGGTAATATTCTACAAACTTGTTTTTATTAAAAAAGTTTTTATAGACGTGCCGTGCTCCGAACAGCCAAATGTCACTGTCATCAGTGATCGTTCCAGAAGTTTGATCAGTCAGATCCAGGATGGCGCACTGAGCTTCTGCTTCCATGGGAGCCTCGACGTAGGGGATGCCGAACAGGCGAAGAAGTTCCTGAAGAGGTACAGACACACGATGACCCCTGCTGAAATGCAGGACCTGGCCTCCACCCGGAAGTGGGAGCAGTGCTTCAACAGGTAACTTAATGCATGTGCCCTCGGGGAGTCTGATTAAGGAAAGACATCGGTAGGTAGGTATTGTTCGAGGACACCCAAGCTGTCCACCTACCTGGCTTTCCAGGAACATCTGTCCTGTCACAGTAGCCGCGACCCGTTCTTGCTGCTGTTTTTGAGCTTTCAGTGACTCCTGCTGTGTTAAAAGGTTGCTCTCCAGCGTCTCCAGCTCCTCCTATAAGATAATTTCGCCTGTGGGTAATTATATTAATAACCCAATTAAGTTCATTGGTTATAAAAAGCTTGTACTTAGTCTGACTGAAGTTACCAATAAGCTTTTTCTCCTTATGCAGGTTTCCACTTGGATTTCTGAGCGAGTTTGTAATAGCTTTAGAGTTCCCTCACTAACCCACACGGGAAGTGGACACTATCCCGGCCAGGAACCTCCACAAGAAAGGAGCCATGTCAGCAGGAGTAAGAAAATGGGTGCAAAGAGCTATTATGTCTTCCTCCATCAGCTCCTTAAAAACTCAGAAGCTACTTAACTTGGCTTCCTCAGCAATGAGTAAAAACATGATGTCACGTTATTACCAGGTCAACATCTTGCCATTCGTTGAGCAAATCATCTGCATCTTTTTCAGTTTCTTCAGGTGGCTCAGTGCCCACCGCCTCCCTCTCAGAGTTGTCTCTCGGGAGGCCCTGGGGGTCACCTGTGGCTTCTTGCGTCTCAGTTCCTACTGGTTCCTCTTCACCTTGTTCAGAGGGAGGTCTGGAAGCTTCGTGTAACTCAGCTTGAAGTTCATCGCTGCTATTTATACTCTGCACTTCAATGAAACTTCCTGTACCAAAATAATAAGATCGTTTTGTCTATAACTAAAACATTTAAATTACCCTGAAATCATCAAGAGCTTTCCAAAGTATCCTGAAAAATGTTTTACCCTAAAAAGAAGAAATTTAAATGTCTTAGAAAACATGTAATAGTAGTATATTGTTATTAAATAAATTTATTAATAAGTGCCTGTAACTTCAAAATAAGCCTTTTCAATTAGATACACTGGCACTGTCTTTGAAATTAGGAACCATGCTCTCAAACATTTGCATATTTGCTTATAAAAAAACGTCCTCTAGGGCTTCCCTGGTGGTACAGTGGTTGAAAGCCCGCCTGCCGATGCAAGGGACACGGGTTCGTGCCCTGGTCTGGGAGGATCCCACATGCTGCGGAGCGGCTGGGCCCATGAGCCATGGCCGCTGTACCTGCGCATCCGGAGCCTGTGCTCCACAACGGGAGAGGCCACAACAGTGAGAGGCCCGTGTACAGCAAAAAAAAAAAAACAAAAAGTCCTCTAAGTTAACTAATATTGTTTTGAAATTCAAAAAGAACTACCAAGGTATGTACACAATCATGGAGTTTTTAAAAAATGTTTGTATGCTATTTCACTATGAACACAGCAAAGAATAACACTGTGACGCAGAAGAGAGAACCCTGGATAAGGACACGGAAGAAACAGCTCTTCCTCTCCCACCTCCTTCCTTCCTCTCTTGATGTCCTTTCTTCTCTTTGAAAAGCATTTATTGACTCCCTTCCTTCACTTCAGGGGGAGGAATCTGGATCTGAGGACACACTCAGGACGGAGGGGCTGGGACCAAGGGGACAGCCAGGACCAAGGAGGAGGCCAGTGATATCGGGAGCTGGTTACAAACAGAGAATGAGCAAGTAAGTAAATACACTGAAGATAACAGAAGGTCCCTCACTGTTAGACAGGGAAATTATAAAGAAGGCAGAGTGTAGAATGAGATCTGGGATGCTGGAGAAGAACTGCAGATACGAGCGTGAGCTCATGGGTGTATACACAGCCCCACGAACAGGTGCCAGGCAGGGTTGGGATTCAAACCCCATCCAATGGCCCCAGAGCCAGAGCTGCTTGGTCTACACTGCACTGCTCTCTCCCATCTCCACCCTCTGGTCACCTCTGCAGGGGAGCTGAACCAAGAAGGCCAAGTGTCCCCCTGGCTCAACCTCACCTGGGAACGGCGTGGCAACTCAAGTTTCTGGCCGTTCTACACATGTCCACAAACGACCACAAAGACAGTACCGTGAGGACTGATTCTGGGGTTAGATATAAATTTTAGTGAGTAGGCAATTTTACAGATTTGAAATCTGTGAAAAATGAGGATTGACTGTACATAAGCGTATATAGATATAGACATATAATATATACGTGTACACATAGAGAGCGAGAGAGACAGAGAGAGATATGATAAAGCCAATGTGGTAAAATGCCAGCCACTGAGGTCCTAGGTGAGGGAAACAGAATGTTTTAAGATACTTTTTCAACTTTTTTTTTTTTTTGCGGTACGCGGGCCTCTCACTGTTGTGGCCTCTCCCGTTGCGGAGCACAGGCTCCGGACGCGCAGGCTCAGTGGCCATGGCTCACGGGCCCAGCCGCTCCGCGGCATGTGGGATCTTCCCGGCTCGGGGCACGAACCCATGTCCCCTGCATCGGCAGGCGGACTCCCAACCACTGCGCCACCAGGGAAGCCCCTTTTTCAACTTTTTAAAATTTGTAATTATTTCAAAATAAAAAGTTAAAAAATTAAAGGGAAACTCACCTTTACCTTCTCCAACTAGGGCACTCCCTCTCTTTAAAAACAAAAATGAAAAGAGCAGCCAAACAGCAAAGGTCAAGATTCCATTACTAGCTGTGTGTCCTTGGCAAAGTCACTTGTCCTTTCTGGGCCTCTAGTTCACTACCTGAACAATGTGGATCTGGACTACACTAAAGCATCTCTCGCTTCCTGCAGATGTGAGATCCTACTTTTCTTTATCTCTAAATGAGCACAAGCACTTACCATCAGATTCACTTTCTTCAGAGCCTGTTTCCTTTGGTTCCATGGACGCTGGAACTGAAATTAAACCCTGGCCTGCAGATTCAATGGTCTCATGTTCTTGGACGGTTTTCAAGAAATTCTCATGCTCTTTGGCATTAACAGATGCCACATTTCCTAAGTCACTTATTGTCTCTAAAGGGACACTTAGCGTATCACTCGATTCTTGCAAACTGACGGGGCCTTCAGGAGCAGGGTTTTTTTCAGATTCTGTTGCATCATGACTTGAAAGGACAGAGGTGTCATATTTACTCTCTGGTGGAAGAAGATCTTGCTGTAGCTCAAGCACTTTGGTTCCACTCCTTGATACGGAACTCGGACTTGTCGGAGGTGTTGGTGTCCACTCTGGTCCTCTCTGGAGCCCAGGTGCATCCCTGGGTAGCACCACAATGTTTTCCAAAGGAACTGGATCTTTTCCATCCTTAAGTGCAGTCTCATCGTTTGTCTGAAAGGCTTCCTTCACCGGAGGAATAAACGACATCTGCTCTTTTGGAACGCCAGAGTCGCTGCCTTGACAAAAGACAGTCCTCGGTAAGTGAGCCGATTCTGTCCGCTCTTCGTCGGCATCAGCGCTGGTTACAGGCTCCTCTGCGAGGTTCATACTGGCTGCGTGAGACGCTGCTGCCAACGGCACTCCTTCACCATCTCTCATTTTAGGTCCTTCCTCAGTCTCCTCGTCAGAACTGCTCTGGAGCGGTTTCGGTTTTCTCGCGCCTGCCCCTCCTGTCTGCACGTCACTGGCACGCACTTTCACGTCTTCATCATCGTCATCGAGAGCTCTCTGCATGGCCAAGAGAGTCAGCGGCGACACAGAACCTGCACGTGCGGTAGCGGGCGCGTGCGTCACATGGCACAGCCTGCAGGTCTCACTCTCCAGCTCATCTTCTGAGCTGCCGCCCAGCAGGGCCGCCTGCAGGGCCAGTAAGGTTCTCGGGGAAGGAGGGGAGGCGTCAGGCTCTTCCTTTGGCTCCAGCTTTTCACACGGAGATGACTTCATGTCAGAAGACCTGCTGTGCATTTCACTGCATGAAGGAAGAGACTCTGAATCCACTTCTGCAACTTTCTTAGCTTGAATACCTTGAGAAAAATTAAATATTCTCACTATGTAGCTTTACAGTGTGAGAACATGCTTCTAGTTAGATGAATAAGAGCATACCAGTTCTCATAAATGAATTTATAAATTCTCAATCATCAACTAAGAGTTAATTTGTTAGTTAATTTTAAAGTGGGTTGGTATGATACTACTTAATACATTAAAATCTATATACATTTATTATTGCATTAATAATAATTATAGTCAATAAATTAAGTAGGACTTCATTCACATTATCTGGGGGTGGTAGCTTATAGAATTCAGAGACACGACATATTTTTGGTTTTTAACCGTCAAATAAGTGATGGTACCTGTACCTTTAATCAAGATGTAATGTGAAGTATCTTCAGAGACCACCCTCCTTGACTCTACCTCCTTCAAAAAGCCTCCTTCATCTTCATATTGCCTTTGGATTTGTCCTGAATGTTGTTGATTCATTTCCTTTTGGACACTTTCTATGTGTTGGTTTAGATAGTTTTTTTTAAGCAAGCCTTTGAGCTGGTACTGTGAAAAGTCATTGGACTCCTAAGGCAAAATAAATAAACAAAATTTATCTTATATTAAATACAGATAGTATTCTCATATTTCCATCCTTTTCCCCCAAAGGGGATAAAGAACAAGTGATTTTTTCCATTGGTGGTACTTTCATACTAGAAAAGTAAAATTTGAATAGTAGGAAAAAGCTATAATTGCTTTGTTAAAGGATAATCTTTCAAACAAAAAGAACTGGGCAAAAGAAAGGAAATCATGCATACTGTTTATGATTCCATCATTTACTCAAAAAACATTTATTGAGCATGTGATGCATGCCAGGCACTGTGACATGTTGATTCTGGCTTAACGGACAATCTTTTAGAATGCAAGTAAAGTGTCCAGCACAGTTCCTGGTCCATAAAAGACACACAATAAATCATTGCAATCACAGTTATTAGTAATACTTAACATTTATAAAGCACTTCCTGAGTAAGACATTCTTCTAAGTGTTTTTAAATATATCATCCCATTTTATTCTCAACCACCGATGAGACAGACGTCATTATCTCCATTCCACAAATGAAGAAACTGAGACTTAAACAGCTTGAGTAACCTCTCTAGAGCCGCATGGCTAGTAAGTGGTAGATCTGGGGTCAAAAGCAAGCTACCAGAGCTTCCCTGGTGGCACAGTGGTTAAGAATCCGCCTGCCAGTGCAGGGGACACAAGTTTGAGCCCTGGTCTGGGAAGATCCCACATGCCGTGGAGCAACTAAGCCTGTGCGCCACAACTACTGAGCCTGTGCTCTAGAGCCCGTGACCCACAACTACTAAGCCCACGTGCCACAACTACTGAAGCCCGCGTGCCTAGAGCCCGTGTTCCACAACAAGAGAAGCCACCGCAATGAGAAGCGTGCGCACCACAACGAAGAGTAGCCCCTGCTCGCCGCAACTAGAGAAAGCTCGCATGCAGCAACGAAGACCCAGCGCAGCCAAAAACAAATAAAATAATAAATTTATTTAAAAAAAAAACAAAAAAGCAGGTTGCCAAGCCTTATACTAAATTGCTCCTATTACTATTAAGATTATTACTCTTATTACTTACCAATATTACTATTATCAATTTTGCATTTGCCCAATGTTCAGACAATGCAAAGGTCCAGTCTGTATGACTGAGAACTTCCCTTAGCTACCAGAAGGACGGATCCAACAAGCTGTGCACCATCCTACCCTGGCCTACCCATCCCAGAGGCTCTGTGGTGGCAGAAAGAGAAAAAATGGAGCAAACCATCAGGACTGCCTCTCTTTCTCCTATCCTTCCCACTGTTGTTTACATAATCCAAATTCTATCTCCTCAAAGACCAGCCAGAGATCCATTTACACTCAAGAAACAAAATGCAGGATGGATAGACTGAACCTGGATGTTTCCCCTGAAACAAAAATAAATTTACTTCTGTCCTTTGAATATCATTTCTGTACATCTTAGCATTTTCCTATGTTCACGTACTTCGTGGAAAAGCAGATAGGAGTGATGGGAAAAGAAACAGCTCCTTCCTTTTTCATATTTTTGGTATCAAAATATGTTAATATTCTATAATGTATATTATGGGTTAAAATAACTTTTATGAACTAACCTAAGAATTGAACCACTATGCGTACACTAGGCACTTACTATGTGAAAGATACTGAGCTGAGTGCTAAAAATACAGAGGTGAGCAAGGTAGGCATTTGGGTGCTAAAAATCTAAAGAGACACTACAGGGTGCTGTGAGAACACAGAGCAGGAGACAAGACCTGGTCTTGGTGGAAAGTCAAGAAAAGCTTCCCTGAGTAAGTATTTATAAGTTCAAACTTATAAATGCATGTTTCATAGTATCTCGGAGATACACAAATGCCATTTACTGTAAACGTACATTGTACAAGTAATGCTTATCAATTTTCTTTTTCTAATGAAAAATTTTGCTGATATTCTTAATTCTAAGCATTAATGCGCTGTTGTATAGTTTACCTCTGGCATTGTTTCAAATAATGTTCTTCTTCGCTTGGTAAATTCTTTCATATCAGTCAAGATTTCATGCTTTATTTCAGGGGGCAGGCTGCTAAAGTCTTCAGACTCAATATCTACTGCATGAGGATTCTGAAAGAACTCCTCCTGTAAAGAGTAAAACGTAACACCATGAAATTTACACTTTATACACTTAATTCTATTCACCGTGACAGATTTTTTTCGGTGCTTGTATCATAAACAGAGTTCTGCATATTCTACAATAGGCTAAACACAGTTGTACATTATGTGCAATAGGCATCAAAGTGAATAGGCAGATTAGGGAATATCCATTCACTCATTCATTCATTCAGAAGAAAAAAAATACTTGGCAGGCACTGTTCTAGGTGCTAAGGAACTACAGAGATCATGCCAGGTAAGGTCCCTACTCTTAAGAGCAGAAGACACAGGATAAAAAAATAAATGAACAAGATAACAATGAGAAAACAATGCAGGTTAATCTGATAGGAGAGTTAATTAGAAGAACAGAAAGAGAAAAAATATTATCTGATAGAGAGGACCCCACCAGAAATAATGACCTGCAAGCAGGGACACAAAAGACACCCAAAAACCTGCTCTGGGACAGAGCATCTCAGGCTGAGGGAACAGCAAGTGCAAAGACCCTGAGGCAGAGATAAGCCTTATGAATTTGAACAATATTTACAGTCCCCTTAGTTAGATAAGTTCTGTCTTGCTCTTAACCTAAAATCAAAAGTAGTCATTAGTGGGCTTCCCTGG